AAATACAACGACACGAGAAAAGATCACACTATTAAGGAATCAACTACGGTTCACATTTCCTCCTCTCGTCGTTCATGCACGAGACAACCAACCAATCCCTTCTCACTTTCATAACCCGCTCATAACCGAAGTCAATAAATTAAATACAGTATTAGAAGTCGACCCAGCAAAAGTCGACGCGGAAGTCGCAAAACATAACAGAGACAAACTCATTGAAATCATTAACGAATTCATTTTTGGTAAGTTCGAAGACATTGCAAAGATGGTAAGTCCTGCATCGCAATTCATTTTCAATTGCATCAGACATGAAGTCGAAAAAAAGTGGCCCGAGTCTGGTCTTGTCGCTGTTGGAGGCATTTTCTTCTTGCGACTGATCAATCCTGCGGTTGTGACTCCACAGAGATTTGGGGAGGGAAGTTTGTTTAATTGTTAAATTATAGTATATATACCATACTAGTATAGTTAAATTGACTTCAAGTGGTGAAGCCGAATGACAACGGAAGGAGGACATTAATACTTCTCTCTAAAGTGATACTGGCAATTGCAAACCAATCATTAGAACCATTTAACGAAATCTTTATGCAACAGTTCAACGAATTTGTTGTACCGCGGTACAAAGATGTCAATCTCTTTTTGGACAAGATTAGTCAACCATGCGATATCCCAACAACACCAAAAGCTGACAAAGAAGAGGTCCTTACACGTACACTCCCAATTATAGTGAAAGGGATTTGTGGGTTTAAAACCGCTTACCTCCAAGAATTCTTCGACTACCTTGAGAAACAAAAGGGAATGAAACAACAGTTCATCGACTCACTTAAGGATTAGAAAAATTATACTCATTTCATACGTATCGGTTTTGTGCACCACAAAACACATAGTCACATTATCTTTTTTATTAAATTTTCAATTAACTTTGAGTTACTATAATTTTAATTTTTTTTGTACTGTTTCTTATTAATTATCAAACTATATTTTATAGTTTTGTGTTAAACTATATCATTATAATATATTATGATTTATATTATACCTATTTATTTGATTTAAATAATAATAAAATATACTACAAACTAAATTAGTTGTATAGCAACAAAGAAAAACATTAGTCAACTCAGATCAGTACTTAACTTCCCATTTTAAGAAATAGGATAATTTGAATGGTTTTTTATAGGAAAAAACTGGTTGACATAAAAACCAAAAAAAAACTAAAATAAGAACTTAAAAACCCATTTATAATGAGTTCCGTCAAAATAGTAGTACTTGGGCCTGCCGCTGTCGGGAAGACTGCTATAACCATTCGGTTAGTGAACAGGACTTTCCGGAGTCAATACGACCCAACAATAGAAGATTGTTTTCGTACGACGAGGAGTGTAGAAGGGACAGAAGTGTGTTTAGAAATGTTTGTTATTTAAATACATATTATATTTTAATTATAAATAATGGTAATGAATTGAAACAAGGAAGTGAATTGACTGACTCTCTGATTAGACACGGCAGGTCAAGAAGAATTTTTGAATGTCAAGCAAAGTTACATGACAATTGGGAATGGGTTCATAATAGTTTACTCAATAACTAACCACGCAACATTTTATGAATGTGACCAAACTGTTGACCTACTCTTAAAAATTCGAGGAAAAGACGCTCCTTGGGTATTAGTAGGTAACAAAGTCGACTTAGAAACGGAGAGACAAGTCACTAAAGAAGAAGCCACTGCTTATGCTCAGCAAAAGGGGGCTATATGCCTCTATGAAACCTCTGCTAAAAATAATATCAACATCGAAGATGCGTTCATTACATTAACAAGCAAATACCTCGCAACACGAAACACTCGTAAGGGATCCGCCTCAGTTAAGGACAAGAAACAGTGTCTACTCCTGTAATTGTTATATTTCATTGCATCCCCGTTTTAAGAATAATTTGGCTCACAATACCATTTTTACTCAATGTAATTAATAAAAATAGTTCAATTTAAAAGAACAAATGAGTTACAGCGGTTTACTCAACAGCATCTGGCTTGACCTGTTTCTTGAGAAGACTACTCTCTGCCATGTCGAAAAAGGGCATCTTGAGAAGTTCTGCGCATGAAGGGCGTTGTTTGAAGTCGAACACAAAGCATCGAGCGATGAAGTCTTTCAACTCTTTCGACACCTTTGTTGGGTTTCTTAATCCCATCGCACCAATAGTCGCAGTCTTAAACGTCCCTTTAACTAACCCAACTTCTTTGTATGGGGGATTCCCTTCTAATAACTCTTGGCACACACACCCGACACTCCACACGTCCACTCGATAATCATAAGGCTCTTGTTTTATAACCTCTGGCGCCATGTAAGCTTTACTTCCAGCTCGGTTGGAGGGGTTGTTTGACGCTCTCACGACCAATCCGAAATCAATCACCTTAACTGCATGTGTAGAAGACAACATGATATTCGCTGTTTTGATATCTCTGTGAATGAACCCGAACTCGTGAATGTACTGTAACGCCCGTAACGTCTCGCGAATCAAAAACGCAGTATCTGGTTCATTGAAGTGTTGTTTTGTTTTCATCAACGACTTTAACGTGCCTTGTGAACAATACTCCATCCCAATATACACCCGATTATCAAAGATCCAACACCCTTCAAATCCAACTATGTTTGGGTGGCGCCAATGATACAATCGAGCGACTTCAATACCAATTTTGCTATACCTTTCATTCGCCGAGTGTTTCAATATTTTCAATGCCACTAACTTCCCGTCTTCTTTTCGTGTCGCGACAAAAACTTCACCAAATCCTCCTTTCCCAATTTGTTGGAAGTTTGTGAAATACAGTTTGGGATCATCCTTTTCGGCGATCGTCGTTAACTCCTCGCCATCGTCAATTTGTGAGGACTGTCGCTTTTTAGTAGTTTCTGGCGCACTCGTCGAGGCGTCCTCATTTTTATTTGTCATCGCCCGTTTCTCAGTCATTGTGGCGTACCGTTTCTTCGTTGTCGACTTCAAGATTTCGCAGAGGACGGGGAAGTACTGATCACACTCTTCGGGGTAAAGGTAGTT